CCTTGTTGGAGAAAATCTTCATCAACGGTGTCTCGGTTGGAATCAACTCCAACGAGAGACTCTTCACCTTTTGTACAGGTCGTGCTGTAGGGAGTGAGTGGCGTACGGGCTCAACTGGAATCAGCTTTCGGTCTCTTGATGGGATATCCACTTGTCGAAGGGTGCTTAAGGTATTCAGATTGAAGGCGCTTAGATATGTCGTCGACTTTGCCAATGGACCGTAACGCAGCAACGAAAGTCTGGATCTCGCTCTCGGATCTTCTTAGAGCGATCTCAATGAAGCTTGCGGCTTTTAGAGGGTGGTCAGCGGGGATTTTTCGACGCAGAAAAAGGATCGCGTTACTGAGATGCCGAATATCCAATAATGATACAAGCCCGAGGAGAATGTCCAACGCAACCACTGCACCACCGTAGTGCTTGAGTGCGAGTTCTCCATCGAGCTGGAAACGTACAATGCGTTAAACACGTCGACGTTAGATATCATGACCTGAGGGATCAATTCGTAGTTGTTGCCCAAGCAGTAGCTAATTCAGTTCCTCGCAGCAATTTTGATGACTGGGAGCAGCATGACGTAGAACTTTTTGGTTTTTGGCACTGACGCTGATGAATCCGTACAAGTACGCTGGGTATACGAAGGTCAGCAACACTTGGCAAATGAGCACGATGATGGCCCTTATCAGCTACTTTAACAGCACTCGGTTTTGATTTAAAACTCTGCCGAAGAAGTCCACGAAGCATGCGACCAGCACTAAGAACCAGACGTTGATCCCCACTACAAGAGCAAAGGGTAAAGGGAAGCCAATGACGCTTGCCATCGATATCTATCATGAACACCACAGCCCCTCCACTCGAGATGATCGGCATCAAACTAACTTGAGTCGATGTGAGGTTGAGAGCTGGCACGGTGACTTGGAATTGTTCGAGGATCACTCTCGTCATGAGAGCCATTGTGACGAAGTCTCGGACCCAAAACAGATATTTCGCACTGGAGCCATCTCTGGGTGAAGCCAATGGAACATCGTCAATTGATATGAGGATCACCAAACACGGGAAGGGTGAGATCAGACTGACGATGATTGTCCAGGACAACGGCGTGGTTTGGCTGTAGGCTAAGAGCTTGCGAATACGCTCTGATGAATAATGTCCGCGAAGTTTTGGTTGGAATGTTATCGGAAGCTTGCGAGCTCGACGCCAGAAGACGTGTAGTCGTTGTCTTGCGTCGTCAAAAGAGTCCATAAGTCAGACTTCGATGTGAGCGAGTTTGATGAACTCACCATGATGAACACGAGCTCCTTCCCACTAACGCGATCGCGACTGATGCTATTTTATACCTTTGCGCCGTTGTCCACAAAGTGAACCATTTTTTTTATAGAAGAGTATTACTTACAGCAGTCGATAGGGCGCGCAATAATAGCGCAGTTATCGAATTTTGGGCTTTTACGATTCGAAATAGGCGGGGGAAACGATAATTTAAAGCTGCATCTGGTGAAGCAAAGGCATTGCAGGCACCGGAAACGGTCACGCAACTGCAATGCACCCCCTTCGAGACGAACCATTGCGATCAGGAAAGAACCTTATTATAATTTTGCAGGAGCAAATTCGAAGTCTTGAGCATATTGAAAGTTATGATA